AAAAATAAAAAAAAAAAAAAAAAAAAAAAAAAAAAAAGCCACACTCGATGTCTATGCTATATAATATTTATATGTTTATCGTATGTTTATCGTACAATAACAATAAAGAAACATACATACAGACGTTTCGACCTTTTTACATTAGATTCATCTTCAGTGTGATAAAAATTTAACGCAGATTTTAGAATTCAATATCTTAAACTCGACCTCATATTCCTACGCTTCACAGATTGAATTAATCATAATCCCTTGTAGAGAATATATATATATATATATATTATATTTTAAATAAGATATAATCTATTACTAAAAATCTGTTACCTTGCCAATATCTTCTTATCTAATACCTTTCCTTTAAAATCGAATGAAAATTGAACATATTTCAATATTTTAAATAAACACCGTTTCTCACCCATTTCTTCATTTTTTATTTTTGCTTATTCCTTGTAATTTCCATAAAAAAACGAGATTAGAAATATATTTAACAACACTATTTTAACAGTAACTCGTTCATAATTAATAAGTATAATATAAATATTATTTCCACTGCACAGTCTCTACTATAACATAATTGTGATTGCAGATACTATCCAAATTATATATTGACTATTAATCATTAGAAGGACGCAAGGACGGTAAAGTATGACACCGAAGACTGCATAACCTTAAAAATAAGAGCCGATATTTTTAAGAAAGTCTTCAAAGAAACAAGAGACAATAATAAAATAAATAATCTTTACCGTGGTGAAGCTTTTCAAAGAGAAGACATAAATCTTGCCTGCGCTCAAAAAACAAGGTTCCATACTCCTTCGCATAACGTGCAGAAGCAACTTTTGTGATTCCACAGGTATTTTATACCAGGACGAATTGTATCTGGGACAATATTATATCTCAGTCATCAGCAAATTTGCAATTTCACTAAATTTAAATGATTATAAAATCTTACATTTTGTCGCGCAATTGTATGCTGTGATTGATCAATCTCTGACCTTGCAGACTGAAGCAAAACATGTGTAATACTTGACCAAAAATATACATTAGGTACTTCAACATTTCACTAATGTCGCCATACTGTAACGCAATCTTAAACGTAAATAATATAATATTTTAATCTCTTGCTTCAGTATACACACTGTACAATAAGGATTTTGTTTTGACATGTGGCAGATGACATTCGATAATACTCGAATTTTTATGACATTCTATTATTTTAAACCACTTCGAAATTGTAAAAAAAAAATAATTTTTTATTTCTTCAATTCGGTTTCTCTCGAAAATCTAACATACTATAGAGTATTTTTAATTACAGATTCGTAATCTACGGGAAGAAATTTACCAGAATTACTTGTCACATGTCAAGATTCATAAAAAATGTTGCACAGCTAGTGCCGTTAATTACACAATTGTGAGTAACGCAACACGAACGACAAGTAGTATCACAAAAAATATGTAAATACTAGTTTGAATTGGAATAATAAATAGACATACTTGTAGTAGAGTAATGCTCAATGTTACAACATATATCAGCATATGTACTGCGAAAGCAGTGCAAAAGAGGTCTTCAAGAATTTTCGCGAATCTGTCCAATGGAAATTTTGTGGTACTTATATTAATGGTATAAAAATATAAGGTATTTTTTTCATTGCGCATAATAACTGGAAGATTAAATTAGGATAATCAATAAAATATTTATCCTAAATCAGAACAAGCAATCAAATGCTTATCCTAAATTTGGAACAACGCTTTGATTGATTAAAGAGCATAATAGTTTGAGCACAATTTTGAAGACGACTGCCGATTCTTGAGAATGAAATACCTTATATTCTTATACCATGCTTACATTGATATAATTTCTTGTTTTTCTGTCTTTAAATATGTTCATGTTCCACTTAATATAGTGTAGGGGAAAGTGGGTGAATTGTGCGCATCTAAGGGAAATTTATTGTCCTGGAATGGTTTTCTAAGTTTAAAGCGATATAAGTATAGAAATAGAAACTATAAACATTCTTCTACCATTACGTATTCATAAATGAATGAATTGTGGAATGTTGAAATCAGTAAATATATTCATTATATTGCAATATAAATATATATTAAATATATTTTAAATAAGTGTTATATATATTAAAAAAAAAATACAAAACTAATGTAATAATAATATACATAGACTTTGGCAAAATGAAATGGCTAAATAAAATAATAATAGTGCATAATAAAATAATAAGAAGAAACGAAAAAATTAGTGCTAATTTAAACAAATTTAAACAAAAAAAAACGAACTTACCTTATCTTCTGAATTAAATAACAAGAAAAGATGTAATTTCATAATTTTTCTCTGGCTAGCAATGTATTTACGTCGTATCTTTTGTAGTTATATTATAAGAGGACGATCTTCTGCGTAAAGGTTTTACCACAGTGATGTCTTCATCTATTGAAAAAGTACCAAACCAGGATGCGCACAATACCCCCATTTTCCCCTACTCACCGTAAAGCTCGCCAGTGTGCATGAACGGAGATCGCGATTTTCTGATTGTAGATCTTCCGATAGACGATTATTCGCCGTAATGTTAGGATTATTACGTGATAAAGTCTCAAGACGAAATCTATAAACATTTAAACGACAATTCGATCATTCGTGATTCAAATAACGTAAAAAAAGAAGAAAAACCTATTAGTTTTTCTTATCCGGCCACAGCAAAGAGGCTGCAGACATGCTCAATGTAAATAAAAAGCACGCAATCGTGCGCGAGTAACACCAATACAGCTACAGTCAAACACGCAGTAATATGAAACATAATGTAGAAGTAATACTTTTCTTCGTCCACGAAATAATAGGCCTTATAAGGTATAATTATAGGCCGAGATTCGTTCAGAGGTAATACGATGTTCAGTAATGTAGGCATGAGAGAAATTAATATAAACATATATAAACACAATAAAAGATATACTGCAACGAAATGGAATAATCGTCCGTAATTTGTTAAAATAAGAATAATAAAGAGAATGATTTATTCTTACAGAAATAGCCAAAAGTAATCAATTTTGCGTTCGTGGCATACTTTTTCATAATTTCATATTCCTCCGCGCTATTCAACTTCTCCCAATCGTCACACAGTTGATCAGTAAGACTTTTGATCTAAAAATGCTCTTGATGAATTTTATCGGACAGTCTGACAATCGTAGAAGATCGCGATTATAAGGGATAATAAAAAGTCGAATAATTATATCTTTCGATCAAAAAAATAAATTTCGATATTGACGTACTTTATTACTATTAAATTGGCACGTATATAGTTTCATCAGACATACAATCACCAACATAAATATCGGTATGATCAGTTGAATACATCTAATGTTTTTATTGCAATGAAAAAATTGGGCCACCTAGAAGTATACTTATTAAAGCTTCCTTTAAATGACTTATGATGCAATTTCTCAAGATAAAATTCTATTTTTAATTTTTTGTGCTGTGTATTCTGATACGCGTGTATTTTATTATACATCTTTTGTATATTATTCATGAGAAGGAATTTTATTCTGAATTATATATCATATATATATATATATATATATATATATATAGAGAGAGAGAGAGAGAGAGAGAGAGAGAGAGAGA